ATCCTAGTAAGTAGCCTTACTCTAATAACATGCAGGCTAGGAATATGTTGATCACATTTCTCTGGACGTCTCTATCAGCCTAAAGCCTCATTATGTATCAATGCTAGTGTCTGTTCTAAGCAATACTAATACAAGTATGTATTTAAACTATTTAACAGCATTTCCCAAACTCCTTTGTTAATAGGTTGCACTCAAGACACATGAAGTAAACGAGATGTCAACACTAAATTTGCTAATGTACCCCATTTCTTTGCTAATATGACACCATTTCTAATTTGTGCATTCTAAGTACAATCCATTGCAGTTCAAAATTAAAGAAATATTTTCATTATTATTACATTTAACATTATTAAATGATATAATTTGGTTTTAATGATCAAATTTTAATGTTTCCTTAAAAAAGAAATCCTGGAAAAAGTAGTCTCCTGCTGATATAATAGGAACATTGTTTTGCTATTATCATATCTGCATAAGCAGATGATCATACTTTCCATTTTCCATAACAGAATAACTAGACTAAAAAATGTTTTTCCAAGAAACTCACCATTTAGTTTTAGATAGCAACAATTTGTAGTATATCTAAAGACTCTCTGCCAGAGACAATGATCTAAATCAACAAAAAAATTATACAAATAACTTATTTTGTACAAGTTACTTTGTCATCAAAAACACAATGGCTGTTTTTATTTACATGTACTACTAAAATACTTTTTTTTTTTAATATGTGGGAAAAAGAACATTTAACACTGCAGACAGTTTGGTTCTAAAGAATCTGAGACACTTATAATAAAAATTTCTAGTTCAAGTCCTATTCATGGGGAACACCGATAGATTCCAATCTCATTACAGTTTCTGGAAGAAAAGGTATTCTACAGTAGGTTCTAGATAAAAATCAATCCAAATGATACGAAATGAATGTGCATGTGTGTAAGAAGTTCTAGTTATTTCAGTCAACAATATCCTTCTAAATTTGGCATAGTTTTTCTCTTTACATGTTAACTTAGCATAAACCACTTACTAATATTTCTTTTTGTTAGGGAATCAAAATGTGATGGTTTTAACAAAGATGAAAGAAAAACACCACTTGCTCGAACAACGGATATCCAAATAAGAGGCCTTAAAAGCATTCTTCTCTTTTAGGTCAAATGCTACATATTTTCCCTTGATTTTCTTTTTCTTTCTTTCTTTCTTGCTTGCTTGCTTGCTTGCTTTTTTTTTTGAGGGAGAGGGGGGAGGGGGAAGGGGAGGGAGACAGGGAGTGAGGCTCCAACAAGGAGCCCAACATGGGGCTGGATCCCATGTTCAATCCCATGACCGTGAGATTATGACCTGAGCCGAAATCAAGAGGTGGACATTTAACCAACTGAGCCACCCAGACGTTCCTCCCTTGAAATTTTTTAAAGGCTAATAAACTGCATACATATAAAGTTAAGTCTAAAACCGTTCATTTCAGGAGTGTAACCTTCCAAAAGGCAGTGCTTATTCTTGGAAAAGTAGGCTCTGAAAACAACTGAAGAGTGATGCAGAGATTAGCCAAGCAGAAAATACAATCTGTGTCACCATCTTCATGAAGTTAAAATGAAGTGGATTAAAACCGAACTAATTGGTTTGTAAATGTCATTTTGAGGTTACAAATATTTCTTGCAAGCCACAGTGTTCCTCAAATTTGACTCTCATCATTCATTTTTCAATCCAAAGTTACCCTGGTAAATAAGTGAGGGCATTTCACATCATATTGTATATCCCAAATGGAAATGATTTAGAAAAGTAATATGCACAAGATATCTAGAACCAGCACAATTTTTATCCCCATTTTTTGTATTCCTTTAAAAAGAACATCTTTACTTTGTTATTCACATGGAAAAGCTGACAAAGCATTCTCTTAATGCAGAAAGTGCTGTGTGGATTGGCAAACAAACTAATTTGTTGAAACTCAGGGAAGCAAACAATAATTGTGGGTATATAAAACCCACAATGCAAGCACTAAGCATGTCTTACAGGGAAATCGTGACAGAAAGTGAATCGTCTGATTCACAATAGGATATATTTTGAAGGAGATAAACCTTTTATAACTATGAGCCTAAAGATGCATAAATTATTAAATAATTTTACCCTAGGAGTACTTATTTTTGCATATGTTAACATTTAAACACACCAGAAACAGCTCCTGAAATTGCTTATGCTAATGCTTACTGCTACTCATTTTAAAAGGCAATTCCTCTTAAAACCAAACCTCAGGCCTCAAAACACCAGTTAAAGCCAAATAAAATATACCAAAGTCAATATATGCAAGACATGAAAACCTCCCAATTATACTTCAATGACTTTTTAATTTATAAATCAACCCAATAAACAAAGCATACATTTAAAATTCTAAACACATTTTTGGCAGGTATTTCTTAAGCCAAATAAAACTTCAATCCCCCCAAAATAAAAATCTCCCCAAATATAAAGCAAAATATTTTATTAACCTCCTAAGAAGTATATTAGTTATGAAATGAAAACTGCTTTGGAGAATAGCTGACACCGTTATGTATAAGCTAAAGAACCAATATGTGTTTAAATAAAAATATGAACATCTCAAAGGTAATTACCATACAGAGCATGAAAGAAGTCCATGAATCTCCCATGTGAGATACACTGAACAAAGTGTTCTAAGTCTTAGATTCTTAGAAATGCTATTCTCTCTTTTGCGACTAACAAATGAGTAAATAAAAATCCTTACGATTCAGTTAGTATTTTTTTTTCAATTATCACTGATAACACCTCTTGAAAGATATTGAACAGTAATTTTTAAAAGCATACTTGGTTATTTCCCTAACACAATGGCAGGAAGTGACAGAAATCTAAACATATAAGATTTATGTTGAATCCTCATCCTACTGACAGCCATAAATAAACTGTAATAAACCATTTCAGGAGACAGAATGCTCTTTAAAATGGAAGGGAGCCCATCAACAGAAAGGGTTTTCAGCTCAAAGACTTTATTGGCAAAACGAAACCATAACCAGGGGTTTGATCTCTATTAATCAGTTTGTATTCCATGTTATATTTGGTTGACATTGAATTGTTGTTTGAGATATTATAACGCTCTAGAGGATATGCATTTCAACATGTACTTCTCATTTAGGAAAACGTATGGAAATGGGTCTATCAGGCTATTTTATGCTATAAAATACATCATTTATGTAACTGCCCTTTTCTGATTACAGGCTTATCAATCTTGTTCCTGATTATGATGTGGATGCCTATTTGGTGTCCCTATTTCACTGATTCAAAGGAGGACTTAAGATCAAAAGCCATTTTGTCACTTAACAAGAAAAAATTCATTTAAGCCTACTCTTACTAGTTTATGAAAGGATAGGGCACATACAAGAATAACTAGAGCATATATCCCAGGTAACGGGAACTGGTTGCCATGTATGGATTAATGAAAAATAAAACACTATTAACAGGCGTATCCTTCAAACCCATACACTGTACCTTTTACGCGTAGGGGTTAGAGTTCATATTTTCATTATGTCTGCCCTTATCTACCTCACTGGAGATATTAAAAAAACATGTAAATCTGTATGGGAGTCAACAGTGAGGTAACCCTCCCCCATCCTGCAAAACAAGGAAATAAGATTGATACAATTTCTGCCTTAGAGCAAAACTGGGGCTGACCGGGGCAGGAGGAATGCTAATTATCTACTGAAGCAACAAAAAGAGTTTACAGGAGTCAGTGCTAAATTATGCATTATTTAAAGCAGAAGAAACATTTCTAATGAACTTAATCTGATTTCAACCTCACAAACACATCTGTGTTATTATCAATTTCCTTCCCAAGTACACGTGCCTAATAAGAACAATATATTGGTCAATTACATGTGACTATTCTGGTTCTTGTGGTAGTTATGTATCTCATTTAAAATGACTGAATTTTCATTTTGATTGATATATGCGTTTTTGAGTTTAAAATTACCCCTCCCCCCAAACACACACACAATATGCATCAGCTGTCAATAAGATGAGACAATCACGTCTGTAACACAGAGGATTAGATTCTAGTTGAAGGTAAGTTCACTGAAAGACTATCCTCTGAAGTGTTTCTGGGCTTTTCCTGATGAGACCTATCACTACCACTCGATCTCCGCAGTTGCAAATGATTCGATATTCCAAAGACCATTTAATTATACAACCCTACCCAAATACCAGGTTGTATTATGTCACAGGTATCAATCCCACTGATACTGCTTCTCCAAATTCTGGTTTTAAAGTAGGGTAAAGCCTCAGGGAAGTGAGAACAGAGTGTACAATTTCAAACAAGTTGGCAAACAAAAAAAGTGCCTCATAAGCCAGAAGAAAAGCAGAAGTCAAGAATCATTATCCCTCTAATGCATGTGTGTGCAAAGTATGACTATGTAGCACCAGAGATAAGGATGCTATTTATTTAAGCATAATATAATGAAAACATAAATACAGTGCTGCCTGTCAATTTAAGAAGCAGAAAATGAATAACCATCCAACGGAGGACTTCCCCCAGAGTGACAAATTATAACAGAAGCAGTGCCAGGAATAGATTTCCTCATTTAAACAGTAAACCATGTTGCCTTTTATAGAGTATATGAATGAAATTGGCAAGAGTAGCTAATTAATTATAGCTGATTAGTCTATCAAATCTCTTGGTAGAATAAGCAAAACATGAACTTTTTATAACTATTTGGAGTCAACATACTTCAAACGTAGTATGCTTCATCCATGAGGCATATACATTCTAAAGGGTTGGAATTTTTTTCCTCAAGTTTCACACTTTAAGATAAGGGTATTTTGCGAACTAAAATCATGCAGGACAATTCAGAATATAATGCAAGAAGAAAGAGTGTGTTAAATACATCCAGGATACAGAAAAACATACCACGCATAGTTTCTCTTTTGTGCTTAGTTTGTGGAAATTTTAAGTCTGACATGATAAATATTAAACTACACTAAAAACCATGGCACTCGAGAAATGTACCAACCTTCAGGATCCAGCAGTTTCTCTATGCCTAACTGGTATTTGGCAATGTTGAACGCATGTTCCAGTCGTTGTGTGGCTGACTGCTGGCAAACCACACTGTTCCAATCAAACAAGTCTGGCCTGAAACACACACACACACACACAAAGACAAATAGAAATCAATTTACAATTTTCCACAAGATTCTGATTTTTAATTGACAACTCATACCCATCCCCCTTAAGAGTTGAATGTTACTCTTCATTACCCCTCAATAAAGTTTTTCATTGAAACAAGGTGGAATTTTACTTGAAAAACCTGAAAAAAACAAAGGAGAATTTATTCTACCTTGTCAAGCAACAGAAATATATTAATCTCACCTAACCTCAGAAATTTGAGTGCCAGCCATGTGCTGGTAACTTCCAATTTTACAAGCCTAGCCCAGACCTCTTCCCTGAACTCCAGACTCTAGATTCATCTGCTTATTCAGTATTTCTATGTAGAGTCATCACAAGACTCAAGGCTCCAAAACTGAACTTGTAGTATTCAACCCCATCACACCACCCCAAACCCACCTACTTCTCTTATAGTTCTCCCTTCCTCAATAATCAACAAGTACAAACTTGCAGTGGCTCACACAGAAACTCTGGAGTCTAGTTTGATGACTCATTCTCGTACAACACTTGGTTGGAAATGTATCCAGAATTTGACCACTTGTCACTATCCTTGCTGCCATCCCCTCAATCCAAACCACCATTTTATCTTGCACGGATTATTTAGTGCATTAACTTTCTAATGTCTCCCTTACTCCCACCCTTGCCCTTGTTAATCTATTCTCAGCAAAGCTGCCAGAGTGATCTGTTAAAATGTTTCATCATAACCTTCTTTTCAAGTCCCTGCTATCGGGGGAGTAAAATTCATTGATTTAACTTTGACATACCAGGCCCTACATGGTCTGCCTCGCCATTAACTCCCTGATTTTATTCCTTGCCTCTCTCCTCACATTCCTCAAAGAGGCTAGGTAGTTTCTGTATTTTCATGTACTGTTCCCTCTGCCTGGAATTCTCTTTCCTCAGACACTGACATGGCTCACTTCTCTACTTCCTTTATGTATTTCCTTAAAAGTCCTTATTATGATTATGATTAGGATTGTTATTCCCTCCTCTCTCCCCATGTAGAACTGCTCACTCCCAGGGTGCCTGAGTGGCTCAGTCAGTTGAGTGTCTGACTCTTGATTTTGGCTCAGGTCATGATCTCACAGTTCGATAGAGCCCCACATCAGGCTCTGCGTTAAGAGCACAGAGCCTGCTTGGGATTCTCTCCTTCCCTCTCTCTGCCCCTCCTTCTTCTTGCACTCTTTCTCTCTCCCAAAATAAATGGAAAAAACATTTAAAAACAAATAAATAAAATTGCACACTTCCTAATCAAACTTATACATATACTAATTTCCTATCCCTTTCTTTCTCATCAGCACTTACTACTGTTTAATATTTTATATATTTTAACCAATCTTGTCTATGTATCTGTTTCCCCCACTAGAATGCAGAATAAAGGTTTTTTTCACTGCTTTTGTTCACTTCTAGAAACGCAAGCCTGACACATAGGAGATGGTCAATAAATACTTGTTGACTAAATATTTGTTGATTCGATAAATTTCGTTGACATGGAAGCAGCAAATGGATGACAATATACTATAAGAATATCAATTTACTTAATAATAGAGAAAACAAAAAGGAGTATGAGAGGGAATTCTTATCCTTTAAGGGCTTAAAACCTAATAAGGAAAAAATACCCACATCATAAGAAGTTAAAATACATTGTCAATGTGAAAAATAGAAAAGGTTTTCTAAAATCTGAAGAGGTCAAGAAATTTTTGAGGCTTAAGGGAATCTTCAATCATGGTTTGCAACGAGATTTAAGAAGTTTTTGAGAATAGAATTCTGAGTTGTAATGATATTTAAAAAATCAAACTTCCTACACCAGAAAAAAAGCAGAATGTGCTTAGTTGGTCAAAACTCAAAGGCTTGCCTCCACAGAGAGATCTTTACCATTGAGAAGCAGTGGGAGACGGGGTTAGGAAGGGGGACTGGGAGGAGGTTGAGAAAGGTCTTGGCCGTTGAAGGAATTACCATTTACCCCTACAACATTGGAAACCACTCGTCAACTGATTCTTCACCTTTTCTGGATCACAGACACCTTTGAAAATCTGATGAGCACTAGAAAACGTATATCTATACAAAAACCCCTGTCCGTATCTTTAAACATACTTTACATAGAATTTTAAGACAATGGGGTCTGTCAATGGACTCCTGCCTCAGAACTCACGCTGTACAAGGTAGGAAATTATAAGGATGGGCTTAGCTGTTATTTTCAAAAACCATAAATGAAAATAAACGGACAATTCTCTCATTGGACTCGCATTTCCTTTTCCTTTCTTGATGCTACCCTGATTAACTTACCAGAATTTTGTTCACTTCTTAGCAAGTCTAACCTGCCCTCTCTACTCCATGTTACCCAAAAAAGCTATAATACTTGAAAACCTGAAATTTGTATAACCTGCGAGCTTACTCGAGTGTGGAAAGACTATAAGAAATAACAATGATAGGGGCGCCTGGGTGGCTCAGTCGGTTAAGCGTCCAATTTCGGCTCAGGTCGTGATCTCACGGTCCGTGGGTTCGAGCCCTATATCGGGCTCTGGGCTGACAGCTCGGAGCCTGGAGCCTGGAGCCTGCTGCGGGTTCTGTGTCTCCCTCTCTCTCTGCCCCTCCCCTGCACTCACTCTGTCTCTCTCTCTCGACCAGTATTTCATTCATCACATTGTTACCCAGGGGCTATGGACAGAAATGAGGTGAACAGGAACACAGAGTGAGGTGTACGTTGCTACAGAGGTTCCCTTTCTTTGGATGACTGTTCAGTGTGTAGGCGATCATCGTATTACACAAGAAAGTAAAAGATTTAAAAGAAACATCTCCGTTCTTTTCAAAAGAGAAATCATAAATTCTATACTATTTGCGGAAGTTTTAACTTCACTCTGAAATCTCTGCTCCACCTTCTTTTCTCCATCCTTCAGCAATCCAAGTGGAAAAGAATATAGGTAGGAGAGTGTGAGAGACTAGTTTTCTCACCTACAGTACAGTCAACAGAGTTAAATGAGTATAATGAAAAAACAACTGCTTCCTCATTCTAACCCTTTTTTCCTTCATCCCCTTCTCCTCTTGGTCATGAACTAATCACCTATTTGAGCCTCAGTGTGTTCATTTAAAAAAGAAGGAAATGTACTGAATGGCCTTGGAGGTCCCCTCTAGTATTAGGATTAATCTGTTTTAAATGATTAAAATGCATCATGACAATTAACACTGTAAGCAACTATGATCTCCAAATGCATAAAGAATTGTAAGACTAAGCAAATGCAGAAGAAAGCCGCACACCTTCCCATGCTAACCCAGACCTGAACTCATAGATAAGAACATGTAACCAAGGATTACCAACCTTTTGAGGAAATGAACATCTTGAGTAAGATAACAAAGCCCAGTAGATAAGCAGAGTCCTCTGTAAATGCAAATTCTGGCTCTACCACATATTAGCCAAATGGTCTTAGGTAAATAATGCAACCTCTTTGTGCCTCAGTTTCCCATTATGTGCAATGGGACTAATTACAGTATCAAATTACTTTGACACTATTACTAATGAAGTATTACACTTTGATACTATTACTAACGAAGTATTACTTAGTTCTAAAGTTAATTGTATGTATGAAATAACAATACTGCATTTTCAATTTATAGGCTCATGCCAAGAACACCTATAACTTATATTTGTAAATGTTACAAACACTGTTGATGGAAAAATAATGAAACAGGAGGGTGGTGGGTAGGATGGGCAAAGGGGAATGAGAAAAACAGGCTTCCACTTATGGAATGAGTAAGTCATGTAAATAAAAAGCACAGTCGGGGGAATAGCGTCAATGATACTGTAATCACGTTATATGGTGACAGATGGTACCTACATTTGTGGTGAGTATAGTAGGAGTTGTGGGATCACTATTTTGTACACCTGAAACTAATGTAACATTGTGTATGAACTATATTCAGAGAATATTTTTTAAGAATACTGTAACAAAATGGAAGGTGGAGAGAAGAGAGTGTGATCTTCTGTATCAGGTACTCAACAAATCTTGTCTAAACTTTAAAAAAAAAAAATTTTTTTAACGTTTATTTTTGAGACAGAGAGAGACAGAGCATGAATGGGGGAGGGTCAGAGAGAGGGAGACACAGAATCCGAAACAGGCTCCAGGCTCTGAGCTGTCAGCACAGAGCCCGACGCAGGGCTCGAACTCACGGACTGCGAGATCATGACCTGAGCCAGAGTTGGCCGCTCAACCGACTGAGTCACCTAGGCGCCCCGTTGTCTAAACTTGATGAAACAAGGGGCGCCTGGCTGGCTCAGTCAGAGGAACATGTGACTCGTGATCTTGGGGTTGTGACTTTGAGCCCCACACTGGATGTAGAGATTACTTAAAAAATAAAATTTGAAAAAAAAAATTATAAACTTGATAAAAAAAAGGTACACCAATACCACTTAAAGTATCGCAGGCAACAATTTTAAGAATGAAATGATTATATTGTAGTAATCAAATTAGGAAACAGGGATAAGAGATAATATTTGTGGGCTTCACATTAAGAAGCAAATCCAGGGGCGCCTGGGTGGCGCAGTCGGTTAAGCGTCTGAC